TTTATTTTAAATATTATTTTAATACATTATTAAAATTTTACTAACAAGTAACCATACCACCTTTTTCAAAATTAACTATGATTAACCAAAATAACTCATTTTAAACAAATTATTTCATAAACAATCAATCCCTTAACAATCATATCAAATATAAAAACATAAAGAGTATATTTATGTTTATACATATAAATTAAATATAACTCATAACTCAATTTAATCATATCAAATATAAAAACATAAAGATTACATTTATGTTTATACATATAAATTAAATATAACTCATAATTCAATTTATTTTAAAAAAATATTGAAATTCTTAAAATAAAAACATTTTACTTATTTATTTTATTTTTTAAGTAAAAATTTTAACGGACAAAGAAATTAATAAAATTTCAGCCAGCATTTAATAAAATAAACCCACATTTAATAAAAATACTTATGTTTTCCCTTCAAAGCAATTACACGTTTTTTATTAAAAAAAAAAAAAAATCTATAATGGTTTTGAAAACACCTATAATTTTAAAGATCTCATTTTGTAGGTTGTAATGACTATACTATCAGTTTTTTATCAATAAAAAATGATGTAATATAAATACATCCAAATTCACGGTCCACTTAAAAATCTTGCTGATATAATAACAAAAAATAATCAAATTAGTAGAAATCTAGCTGATCTACTCGTATACATCGACCCATATCAATAATTTTTATTATTTACAAAGTAAAAGCATCTTCAAATTTTAAATTAATTAATGTTGGCTGGATAATATGGAATCATTATAAATAGATGCAGACCGCATCCCAATCACTACATTCTTACATTATCAATCAATTTTTCAAATTTTCAGTAAACAACATATTGTTAGTGTGTATACTGAAATCGTAGCTTTAGATGTGACTCACAATAATTATGTTGAATGAGATTCATGTTTGATTAAATAAAGTTATGTGTTGTATTGTTTTGAATTTAGACATATGGTTCATCACAGATAGACAGAAGACCATTTGTCGGTTACTTGTGAAACATAAATAATTGATTCACATCCTAGATAAAAATTAAACAATCTATTGGAATTGTTGTATTGTGGGCGGTATGGTTGGTCTTGACCAATTAGCCACACTAGTACATATAGATGTATTGAATGGATCCCAGAGATGAGCATTTCGTTTTGTACTGATCGTCGTAAATAAACTAGACCTCAGATAATTATTGTGTTCTCTTAATCCGTAAGATAAACAAACGCATGTATGTAGTAATTACTACTTTGATTCAACAAGCTGGGGTTTATTCATATGGACCAAAAACTGATTGAGTTGGGCAGCAATTCCTACATGATATGATGTTCTGTTATAAAATTCATGGTTACCATGTACTTCACAATGTTTAGGTTTGATGTTGTCCCCAAAGTGAGTTTGAAATTATTATTATGTTAAACCTTGTAGATGGATTAAATTCTGAAATAATAAAAATGATAGAACGGTGCTAGCTTTGGTTATAGAAGTCGATTAATTTACTTGTCAGTAATTAAATAAATTGACAAACATTATATCTTAGACATGAGGAGGTAAATCGAGTATCTTAGAAATTGGATCTCAAATTTTAATTTGAGAATTATATTAGGAGTATTTCAATAATACTACTTTAGTGGAACGACTGTATTATTTCTATTAGACTTGGTAGGCTTGGCCTATAGTCTAGTCCTAATAGTAGAAGCCCAATTTAATGCCTCATTAGGGTCTCTATTGGAGCCAATAATTACACATCTTTTCTAGTCTTGCAAGACATAACACACATAGAGATATTTAGTTTCTTCTTCCCACCAAGAGAGTTCTAGAGGTGTTAGGAAATCCAATAGAAGATCTAAAGTAATCGAGCACCCGAGAAATTCTCGAGCATCCAACCACCACCCGAAGCGCGTGCACCACTGCGAGCCCTGGTGATACTCGACGCCCCGATGCCCTCGGCAAGATGCTGCCACTCGCAACATGCCAGTGCCCCGGAGACGACGTGCTGCTATTTCCTGCGACTTGTGCACCCAAGACATCCACGTGTCTGGCGACATAGACTCGCAGCCACCCAGCGGTATGCACACGCGACTTCCTCGCGACCCGCTCGAATCCAGCGACCCAAGACGCACAAGCCAGCCCCGACCAGCTTTTCGGTGCTCCGATCACGATCTCGTCCGCACACGCAAGTGACCCGCGACAACTGTGAAGGCCCGTCCGACTAACCAACGGACTTTGTGATCAGACGATCTCCCCCAAAGCAAATCTACAACGTCTCAGAGTCGACAAAAAAATAAACCGTGAGTCTCCTATTTTTACCTATAGATTCGCTACACATAGGTATTTTTATAGTTAAATTTGTAACTTGCACATTAGCAACGATCCTTATAATCCAAACACATACCTCTTATCTACTTTTCTATTCATTTCTTAAATGGCTAAGCAATTTGATAGACTCAACATATTGGACAAAAAAAAA